GTCATGGGCGGTCTCCTCGTTTCTCGGCTTCGTCGAGATGAGTAGGGCTTCGCCCCGGCCCGTGTTGCTCAGTGGGGAGAGCGTCGGCCCTTGGATGGAAAGGTCCTGGGTTCGATTCTGGCCCAGGGTGCGCACCTGGGCTGCAGGTTCCTCCCCGGCCCGGGGGCGGGGGGCGCGTGCAGGGGGCAGCCCATCCCCGTGTCTCTCCACGTTGCTGTTCCCCTCATCTCGCCCCCCCTTCCTGCCCCGAGGAGTCAATGGAGGAACATCCGCGGGTGCGGATTAGCCGCTGCAACAATCGGGTTCAGTGCCTTCTCGCCGCCGCCCGCGGTCGCCGTGTCTGCGTTTCTCTTCCCTGGAAACCGCGCTGGTTGGCACGTTCCTGGCCGCCTAGGTCAGCCTGGCGGCGGGAAGGCAGGTGGTCCGTTAGCGCGTCTTCGGGGAAGCGGTTCATTTGGGAGTCGAGGCCTTTATTCCAGCGCACATGCAAGTGTTGGCTCCCAGCTGGGGGTGGGTTGCAGCTAAAACGTTTAAACGAAGCATGCAAATAGGGTCACCAGGTTCACCAACATGCAAATAGGGCCACCGGGGTCACCAACATAACACCCTGGCATGGCAGCATTTGAGCCAGCTTTGAGCTAGGGGTCTTGCTTATTTATAGCCTTTGTGGGCATGTATAGGAATAGGGCCACCGGGGTCACCAACATGCAAATAGGGCCACCGGGGTCACCAACATGCAAATAGGGCCACCGGGGTCACCAACATGCAAATAGGGCCACCGGGGTCACCAACATGCAAATAGGGCCACCGGGGTCACCAACATGCAAATAGGGCCACCGGGGTCACCAACATGCAAATAGGGCCACCGGGGTCACCAACATGCAAATAGGGCCACCGGGGTCACCAACATGCAAATAGGGCCACCGGGGTCACCAACATGCAAATAGGGCCACCGGGGTCACCAACATGCAAATAGGGCCACCGGGGTCACCAACATGCAAATAGGGCCACCGGGGTCACCAACATGCAAATAGGGCCACCGGGGTCACCAACATGCAAATAGGGCCACCGGGGTCACCAACATGCAAATAGGGCCACCGGGGTCACCAACATGCAAATAGGGCCACCGGGGTCACCAACATGCAAATAGGGCCACCGGGGTCACCAACATGCAAATAGGGCCACCGGGGTCACCAACATGCAAATAGGGCCACCGGGGTCACCAACATGCAAATAGGGCCACCGGGGTCACCAACATGCAAATAGGGCCACCGGGGTCACCAACATGCAAATAGGGCCACCGGGGTCACCAACATGCAAATAGGGCCACCGGGGTCACCAACATGCAAATAGGGCCACCGGGGTCACCAACATGCAAATAGGGCCACCGGGGTCACCAACATGCAAATAGGGCCACCGGGGTCACCAACATGCAAATAGGGCCACCGGGGTCACCAACATGCAAATAGGGCCACCGGGGTCACCAACATGCAAATAGGGCCACCGGGGTCACCAACATGCAAATAGGGCCACCGGGGTCACCAACATGCAAATAGGGCCACCGGGTTCACCAACACCACTGAGGGAGGCTGGGTGCACCTGCTTTACAGACGGATGAAAAAAGCCCATTTTAAGAATCCCAGGATGTGCCTTTCTGGACATTTTCGTTCCTCTGGGTCTGTTGTTACTAACAGTCTTTTGTAAACGTGGCTTTGAAGTTCTGTCTCATTTAGTCTTTTTAAAAATGATCATTATTTTTTTCAGTCTGCAGGCCAACTCCTTACCACCGAGCCAAACGGGCCAAGGCTCCTTTACAGTTTAGACAAGGAGTTACCAGGGTAACGGTCCCCCGTCCCTGGGCCTGTGGGCTGGTCCCTGTGACAGTGGTGGCAGCTCTGACCGCTCGTCCTAGAACGTAGGACCCGCCCAGCACCTCACGCTGGGCAGCAGGGTCCCCAGCAGGTGTCTGACAGGCCCTGGCAGGGCACCCGCGGCGCTTACCGTGGCTGGTCCCGGGAGCAGCCCTCCTCCTGCAGAGGTGGTGATTGTGACGACCAGGAGGGGCCTGAGCCATGAGTCAGGCGTTGCCCGGGTCCGGCATTGTGACCGGCGGTGTTTTAGGATGTGGGCCCCAGCATGCCAGGTCTCAGCCAGGGCAGGGGTGTGTCCTGAGTGTTTGGCCCCTTTGTGTGCTGCCTGGCGGGTAATTAAGCTCCTGCAGCACCAGAGATCTTGTCTTTCAGGCTTTGATTTTCAACATCCGGTCTTCAGTCACAGCTGCCGGGCCTTTTGTTCTATTTATCTGAGTAGATATACTTAATCCTGTGTGTCTAGGTCAGCCTGCCTATTCTTTCTTTGAAAACTATATTTTTTATTGATCTCAGAGAGAGCGGAGAGGGAGAGAGAGATGGAAACATCAATGATGAGAGAGAATCACGGATCGGCTGCCTCCTGTACGCCCCACACTGGGGATCGAGCCTGCAAACCGGGCATGTGCCCTTGACCGGGAATCGAACCCTGACCTCCTGCTTCATAGGTCGATGCTCAACCACTGAGCCACGCCGGCCGGCCCAGCCTACATATTCTTCATTCGTCCTTGTCCTGCCCTGAATGAAGGAGCCCCCTTCTGGGACCTGGTTGGAGTGCGGGGGTCCTTTTCTGTGGGGCTGGTTTGCCTGGCATCCGGCGAATAGGAGCCTGGGCCTCCCCCACCAGGAGGAAGGGCTTTCGGTTCCCATCTCAGGGAACACTCCGCGCACTCTGTTCTCTCATCTTTGCCTGTTGTTTCCCCGGCGGCCAGCAGTGCAGCCCGGACTCAGAAACGGCTCTGTGCTGTGGACGGCACTTTGGGGCGGGGTTGGGGAACCCTCTCGGCTTCCAGCAGGGGCCCAGGGTGGGCTGTGCTGGGGGACCTCAGGGACCCGCCGTGGAGCAGGGGTGGGAGCAGGTGGCTGCAGGGCGGGGCAGGAGAGGCGGGTGTGCAGCGGCCCAGCTGGTAGCTTACAGGGAGAGAGGAACGCTGAAGCCTGGTCTACGGGCAGGAGCCAGGGCCTCGGCAGGGACTGCTAGTTCCTGCTTGTCTCCCGTCTTAGATGCTGTGCTGTGCGAGCCATCAATTACAGCAATTATTCAAACCTCAAAGGGATTTTTCCTTTTACTGAAGGACTTTCTCCTCCCCCAGTGCCTTCTCCCTTTAAATAGCAGCGCTTGAGTGAGCAGACGGGTCATCTGGTTGTTTTTCTTTGTTAATCTTCACCCCATATTTTTTCCATTGATTTTTAGAGAGAGTGGGAGGGAGGCGGGGAGAGAGAGAGAAACATTAATGTAAGTGACACATCGAGTGGTTGCCTCCTACACACACCCCGACTAGGGCTGGGGGTCAAACCTGCAACCCAGGTACGTGCCCTTGACCAGGAATTGAGCCCGAGACCTTTTGGAGCGCAGCCGATGCCCTAACCACTGAGCCACCGGCCAGGGCCAGCCGATCTGTTTACAGAGGAGCACAGAGGGGGTAACCTCCACCACCACTGAGATGAAATCTCTGCAGTTCTGATAGAGAACTGCGGACGGTTGAGAGTATGATCAGCGTTCACCTGGAAAGGAGGGGTCCGGCAGAGAGTGGGAGGGAAACGCGGGCGCCTCAGCCCGCTCTGTGCTGTGGAGGTCGCAGGAAGCCATCACTGTGGGCGGCGCCCTCCATGTCTCCTGCAGGGAACCTGTCGGGAAGAGCCGGGTGCCCTCTGGGTGGTGGTGAGCCAGGTACACACACGTCACGTCGGGGTGGGATCGCCTCGCCTCGCTGCTGGCAGGGCCGGCCTCCCCGGCTGAGGCGCAGCGGCCTCGTCCCCGCCGGGAAGGAGTCCTGTGCCAGACGAAAGCCAGGCCGCCAGCTCTGCTCTGCCTCCGCTCACCGCTGCCGGGCGGGAATCGCCTCCGGTTTCTAAGAATATCCGCGCCTCCCGGATGCCAGGCTGTGGGGAGAAGTCCAGCGACAAAGGGGCTTCTGCTTCACAAAACACAGGAAAGTGGTGGTTGGACATCGGTCTTGGAATGACGGGAACATTTTATTTTATTTTACTTATTTATTTTTTTAAAATATATCTTATTGATTTTTTACAGAGAGGAAGGGAGAGGGATAGAGAGTCAGAAACATCAATGAGAGAGAGACATCGATCAGCTGCCTCCTCCACACTCCCTACTGGGGATGTGCCCGCAACCAAGGTACGTGCCCTTAACCGGAATGGAATCTGGGACCCTTCAGTCCACAGGCCGACGCTCTATCCACTGAGCCAAACCAGTTAGGGCAACGGAAACATTTTAAAGACCCACGGGTTACGGCCCTGCCCCTGCTTGCTCAGAGGACTCTTGGGCCCTCCCCGAGGATGAGGATGAGGAGGACTGTCGGGTCTTAGCAGATGGGTGTCCCTCTTCCCCCAGGGCCGTGTGCTCCCGTGGCAAGAAGGCCTTCAGTCCCTTCCGGCCTGCCCTGCCCTCGAGACTTTCCGCTTTGGCGGTGCCTCTGGGTGGCCCAGCTTGACTTCCCAGTGACGCGAGAGGGACCTTAGCAGCACTGGACAGAAGAATGATTGTAGGAAGATGCTTGAGTCTGCAGGAGGGAGTGAGTGCAGGGTGGCAGTCCCACTGAACGAGACGGCGGGTGCCGGCGTCCGAGTGGGGGTGAGCGGTGTCACCTGTGACCGCAGCAGCGACAGCCATGGCTAGACCTCCCCCCTGTCCCTCCTGCCACTTTTGGAAGCAGGTCAGCCTGGCTCCCCACTTCCCTGCAGCTCTGACCTGCCCACCTGCACAGCGGCCCCTCGCACCTGCTGATGGCACAGAGCGACTGGGGCCTCGCCAGCAGTGGGTGTGAGTGGCAGCTGCTGCCCTGATCGCCCCTCAGGAGCAGGGGGAGGTGGAGAAGTCCTCAGGGGCGATCAGGGCCAACAGCCATAGCTCGCCCCACTGACGGCGCCGAGTGGGTGTGAGTGGCAGTGCCAGCTGCGGGTGGGACCACAGTGTGCAGGAGCAAAGAATTTTCAGTAACCACCAGAGGCCTTCCCCAATGACAGCGACCGGCGCCCCCACTCACCTGCTCCACCATCCCACTGCAGCCGACGTGCGCTGTGTCTGTGCTCTGCCGCCTGCTGCCGACGCCCGCCATGTTCAGCGTGCACCCTTGGTGGTCAGCGCATGTCATAGTGATTGGTTGTTCCGCCGTTCGGTCTATTTGCATATTAGGGATTTTATATATATATTTATATTTTAATATTTGTCTGAGGATATGTTTTTATTGATTTTTAGAGAGAGGAAGGGGGAGAGAGAAACATCCATGGTTGCCTCCCATACATCCCTGACGAGGGATCGAACCCACGACCCTTGGTGTACAGGACGACACTCCAACCCCCGGCCAGGGCAGCGATGCCGGCTCGCTCAGAGCTCCTGGGCATCCCGAGGCTAGTTCGTCAGGAGAAGCCGTGTCTAGTTAAACTCTGGTCCATGTCTTTCCATCAAATCGTTCATCTCAATCAAGCTTTTGGAAGATGATGTGGACTTCAGTTGGCTGTCGAGTGTAATTTATGTACAGTAAAGTGAATGCACCCATGTTACTTATACATCTGGTGAGTTGTTTTTTTAAAAATATTTTTATTGATTTCAGAGAGGAAGGGAGAGGGAGAAACATCAATGAGAGTGACCTATCACTGCCTCCTGCACGCCCCCTACTGGGGATGGAGTACATCTCGACAGCACTTGGAATTGTGTTTGTGTGTGTGTTTAAGCAGTATCAGTGAGTGAGAAGTGGCCCCTCACTGAGGTTTTTGGTTTGCATTTCCCTACTTATGTTAAGCATTTTAAAAAATGTATTTGTCTTGATTTCACAGAGGAAGGGAGAGGGAGAGGGAGAGAAACAACAACGATGAGAGAGAATCATGGATCGGCTGCCTCCTGCACGCCCCACACTGGGGATTGAGCCCACAACCCCGGCCTGAGTCCCGCCGGGGAATCAAACCTGACCTCCTGGATCACAGGCCGAGCGGGCCTGTCGCTCCCCGGGCCGTTCAGCTTAGACACTGCCGAGTCGCGAGTCGCGTGTTAAAATAACCCCTGCGTTCTGTGCTGTGCAAGGTCTCGACGTTCTGCCCTCCCAGGAAATCGTGCCACGACTGGATCGGACCCCCAGATAAACACTCAAACCTGCGGCCCGTTCACTTCCACGTCCCCGAGGACGAGTCCGCAGCGGAACGGAAGCTCCGGGAGCTCCGGCAGGACACGCAGGAATGGAACCAGCAGTTCTGGGCCAACCAGAACGTGACTTTCCGCAAGGTCAGTCCGCGCGGCCGGCCACCGGGGGGCGCTGTGTCCCCAGTGCTCGCTCTGCCTTCGGGGTGGGCGGGCTCTCAGGCCTCGGAGCGTTTGGCCGGTGTCCTGTCCGATGACCCGCGAGATGCCCGAGGGGCCCCGCTCTGCTTACAGCCGCTAACCCGGTGGCGGGGTTGGTTCGGTTCTGCCTACGCCATTTCCAAGAACCTATGGACGAGGTGTATTTGTGGGGTTTTGGTGTTTTTTTTGTTTTTGTTGATCCTCATCCGGAGGATATCTTGCCATTGGTTTTTAGGGAGAGGAGAGAGAGGGAAGGAGAGAGAAACATGGACGTGAGACACATCGATTGGTCGCCTCCTACACGAGCCCCGACCAGGGCCCGGGCCAGGGAGGAGCCTGCAACCGAGGTACATGCCCTTGACCAGGGTTGATCCTGGGACCCTTTGGGGCGCCATTTTTAGTTTTGAGGAAACTCCATACTGTTCTCCACAGTGGCCGCTATGCATGTACTTATTAAATCACTATGTAACTACACGAAAAATATCCATCGGCCCTGGCTGGTGTGGCTCAGTGGATAGAGCGTCAGCCTGCGGACTGCAGGGTCCCAGGTTTGATTCTGGTCAAGGGCACATGCCTAGGTTGCCGGCTGGATCCCCAATGGGGGTGTGCAGGAGGCAGCCGATCAATGATTCTCTCTCATCATTGATTTTCTCTCCCTTTTTCTCTAAAAATCAATGTTGAAAAAACAGAAAGAACACTCCAGACAGAGGGGATAACATGTTAGAATGTCTGCAGATGGGAGAGAACAAGGATTTGAAAAAGGTCTGTATAGCTGGAGAAGAGAGAATGAACGTGAAAGAAGTATACAGAGGTGGATGTCTGGTCAGACTCTGTTCAGGGCATTTTGAGGTATCTTAAGGTTTGGAGCCTAAAAAGCATCCGAAAAGTTTTCTTTAGGAATGTGCCCTAATCATATTTACATTTAAGAGTTTCAATCTGGATTTATAATGATAATGAAAATAAAATAACTTTTATGCATGCTTACTATAGGCCCAGTCATAAATTCTTTACATAAATTGTCCTGCTTAATCCTTGAAACTGTGTTCATTTCTTAGGGCTACTACAACAAATGGACACAAACTGAGTGGCTTAGAATGACAGAAGTTTATTCTTTAACTAGAGGACC